ACATGGCGTCGTGATACCGCAAAAATGATTATTCATCCTACCAGAAAAAGCGTGTGTAAGTAATCACAATCGATTCTTCTGTCGATCTTGATTGTTGCCGCTTTTATCTCGACGCTGATTGGACGTTTCTCGATTTATGTCGTACGAATCAAGAGGCACGGTACTGTCTCGCGCCGTTCGAGCGCGACTTTGTTGCGCGTCTTTAAAAACGCAACTAAAATAAAAAGTCACGTGACAATGAGGAGAGGAAAATTAACACGCGAGTAAAGTCACATGACTGTACTTTAGTTACGTGTCATTAAAAACGTGACTAAAGTAAAGTCACGTGACAGAAAGAAGTGGAAAGACAACACGTGACTTTAGTCATGTGTTGTTTTTTCACTCCTCTTTTTTACTGTTTTTTTATTTCGATTTTTATTCGTTATTTTTGACATCTGTCTAATGTGTATTATATTGTTTGTAAGACGTTATATACTAGCTGTCATCGCGGTGACATGTTGTGTTCACTGACACTACACGTTAAAATAAAAACAATAATAGCTGCGCGTAACGCGCGCCTGTGTTGTGCTAGTAATAGAAAAAGTTGTTGCTTTTGTTTCTCTCTTTCTTGGCCATTGCCTGGCGGACAAGCGAGTTTGTTTTCGCTCGCACATTTATACAATCCGGGAGTAGGACATCCGGAGGGGTTCGTACGATTTTGCAACACGGAAACAATCGCGTATTGTTTTTGCAAACAAGGATTTATTATATGTGACATATCGTTTGTAACTCATACGTTTGTTTCAAATCGGCGACAAAATCTAGACATTGGATAAAAAACAATCACGACACTTTATTTCAGCGTGTAATACAACAATGGTATTTATTTTGGGATCACACCTTGCATGTGCCAGAAATTATTTCGCTAGTGTCAGATGTCCGCTCTTTGAAGAAATTAGACGGATTATCAACAGTGATTGTTTTTTCACACTACTAAACTATACGCGCAGAGAGACGCGCAGGCTAAATTCGCAGGTTTTTCGACAGTTCGCATCAAGGTTCATTTCCGCGCCGAGCTTGGAGAGGGAAAGGGGAAGTGCTTGATGAACTATCGTCAAGGATAATAGCAAGGCCTGCTCGATAACGAGGTTTCCGTGCGCCGAAGACGGCCCGGTAATCGTCTTACCGTCTTTAACGACCTAGTAGAAAGCGTCCGCGAAACGTCTTCCGATAGTTGCTTGCACAATGGCCTTTCCCCATACGGGAACAATCACGCGTTTTCTTGTGTGCTCACACACACACACACACACACACACACACACGTGCGGATGTAAGATCCAAAAGTGAAAAATAAATCGCGGACGCAAAAGCGTTTAAAAACTTTCGAATCTGCGTTTTATGTTTACTTTAAAAAAATAATAATTTATCTTTTCTCGGAGTTTTTATCAAACGGGATTGTTGCGAGAGAATATTTGAATCGTAATTTCGAGTAAATAATTTTCTCGTACACATCGTGTAATCGCGAGAGCGTAGCGTTGCGCACAACTACGTCGAGGTGTGGCTTCAAGGATCGATACTTGTGTATTTAGTTACCTTTCTCTCTCTCTCTCTCTTTCTCTCTCTCTTTCTCTCTCTCTCTCTCTCTCTTTTGTCAGCTACTATTCGGTCCGTCGATTTTTTCCGTTATCGTCTGCATCAGCGTAAAAAAAACGCCCATTTGCGCGTGTTTACGCGACGTTTCGCGTCGCTTCTCGCGAATTGACCGACGGAGAAAGAGAAAATTTATTTTCATCATCCAAGTTCTCGAAGTTTATCTCCGAAATTTTTTTCTTTCTTCGCGCGCTCGAGATATTTTTCCCTTTTCGCCTCGTCGCGATGAAAATTCTCGTCAATAATATACCACGCCTTAGTATAGTATCCGAGCTCGTTTTTTGTGATCACATTCTATTGGATCGAACGAGAGAGAGCGAGTGAGAGTGAGAGAGAGAGAGAGAGAGAGAAAGAGAGAGAGCAAGGAGATGGATTCCGGTTCTCTCGCTTTTCTCGCGCACACCTTGGGAGATCATTTGAAAAGGTCGCTCTCCAAGGGAGAGAGAGAGAACGGAAATATGCGTTCGCGCGCGCGCGATGAACTTTGATATATGCGCGACACATTTCTCGATTTCCGTCGTGCGAGACTTTATTTATTTATTTATTTTTTTTAAACGATTGAAGAGAGTGCGACTCAGATCGCATCATGCGCGATCGCGAGCGAGCGCGTTCATTGCGGAAAAAAAACGCGTGTTTACGTCAATGGAGGTTGTGAAAGAAGTTGCGATATGTATTTCGCGCGCGAGAGAAAAGAATGTATTATCATTCAATCAAAGCGGCTTATTGCGTGTGATAGCCGTTTTGCTCGCAATTTTTCATCTTTCCTTTCCCGTCTCCATTTCGACGACGAAGGGAGAACCTTTATCGCAACCTTCTCATCTCGCCGATACGTATTCTGATAATGCTCATTCTCATCTCCTCTTCCTCCCCTCCCCGATTTTCTATCTCGAACTCATCCGTTTGGATCTTATTGGATCGGGCGTGGATATCAAAGGGAAGAGAAGATGAGCCCAGTCTTCTATACATAGCTTTTTGATCCTTCCGTAGATGAAAGTTGCGCGACGTAAGTGAGCCGTGGCTCATCGCGCGACGAGGCTTTGGGAATTAAAATACGCCGGAACCACTTGTACATTTAATCGCACCTTTTTTCTGTTTGTTTCTTTTTTTTTCAACGCGTTCTCTCGTCGTTTTCTTTTTGCAATCGAGCGAAAATATTTATTTACAATCCGTTCGACGACTCCATTCGTCGACGCGACGTAAACGAAGATCCCGAGGAATCTCGCGGTGTCGGTCTGCGAAAGGACAACTGATGATATTTTCTATCGATATGGGGGAAGGGGAGGCTGAATGGAGCTACCATCTCGATGTGGGCGCGTCGTTAAATTTTCTTTGGCCGACGCGGGGATGTGACAGCCGGTGTGTGTATCGGAAATACCGTGTTTTCGCTTGATTGGCGAGATCTCATTGTCGCGTCGATGAAACGCGAGCGAGCGAGCGAGTTGTCGCTCCGCTATACGTCTGTCAGAGAAAAGTTCCGATCTCATTATGGCGCAACCCAGTTCGTTGATCGATCTCTCTCTCTCTCTCGCAACAGAAGTAAAGGCGGACATGAGCAAATTTTCCTTAAAGAACGTGGAACAACGTTGAGGAATTAAGTCGCCGCGGCAAAGACACACGGTCTGCTTCCGAGTCGCCGCACATGTATGTTGTATGAATAAGATAGCGAGTATTATTTCTGTCACTTTCCCAGACCGAAACGCTCGCAAGCTGAAACAATAATTCGCGGACTTGATTATTCGTCGACGTATCTTAGCGAGTTCTCCTTTCGCGGAAGAGGATTCAAATTCCGAGAAGGAGAAGAAGTTGGAGAAGCGTTTGCCTAAAACTACTCCGCGGCAACTTTCGTGACGAAGAAAACTCTCACGTTCATTAAGAAGCTTGAGTAATCTTGACATTTGGACTCCGAACGCGAAGCGCGCTTCGTGAAATGCAGAAGGAGCTTAAGCTTCGCGAAGGGCTTCTTTTCCTAGCTCTCTTTCTCTCTTTCTCCGTCGAGCGGGAATCGATTCTTGCTCTCTCGCGAATGCAAACGAGAGCGTGTGACGACGCTCGTCGTCGGATTCGGTTTCTTTTTGCGCGCGTTAAAAAGCCAGTCAGAGCGTGTCTTCACTTGACTCTGATTAAACTCGATTCGCAGTTTGATCGACTCTCGATCGGTTCCCCGTTGACCTTAATGAACGTCGGAATTCATTTTTCTTCTGTTTTTGTTTTTCATACTGATCTATTTAGTTGTCGCGCGCGTTTGACGGTCAACAACAAAATGACAAAAAATGTGTTCTAATGTACACGTGGATTCGCGATGTTGATGCAAATATTACGTCAAAGATGTAACTGACACTTCTCTCTCGAATTACAGACAGGTTTATTTTATTTTCCGTCTTGTTGCGCGCGTAATTTTATTATTCCACGATTTAAACGCACTTCACTCACGACGCACGCGCTTGTTCTCGCCCATATTTTCTCTCTCTCTCTTTCTCTTCCACGTTCGGTCTCACGCGTGGCGCGATAAATCGAGCGCGATCATTAGCTGGATGTCGCGCGGCCACTTGGCGAGCTAATTGGCGACAATTCGTTCTCTCTGAGAGAAAGAGAGAGAGAAAAAAGGCGTCGCAGAAATTCGACGCAGCGACGAACGAGCGAAGCAATCGTCTCGGATGGCAATAAAGATCGGCGTGCTCGCGCTGGGTCGCTCGCGAGTGGCACGTTCGAACGACACCATCTTCGCCGATGTACGAACGAGAAAGAGAGAGATCTTTTACCTTCCGTTCCGTATGTAATATCGCCGCGTTTTCTCGGCAGTAACCGCCGAGAATGGCTTGTCGTTAAGCTCTCGCAGCCGCTGGAATTTAGACAGGAAAAGGCTTTACGAGGTCGCGCGCGATTCCGATCGCACAGCGAATCTCCTCGTTCTTACGATCGTTTCGAAAAGTTTTCTCGTCGACATTTCTCGTTTTTCGCGCGCGCGTGCGCGACGGTAAATATGAGAGCCGGAGGCGATAAAATAAAATTGTATGAAATACATATACAAGAGTTGTGGGTATATGTTTTATCTTAATGACCCGATTTTACAGCCGGAGAGATAACAAACGGCGTAATAACAACGAACGGAAAGGCTAATATACGGAAAGCCCAGATGCGGCTCCGAAAGGAGGAGTGCTTTTAATGACACGTATACGGCGATATCGCGCTCCCGTTCCTGTCAAGGTCCTTTCAAAGAGAGAGAGAGAGAGATATGTGTGTGTGTATGTGTGTGTGTGTGTGTGTATACATATATATATATACACATGTGCTATCTAAATATAGGAACCATTTAAAGTGCAAGGCCGTCGTAACAAGTAGCCTCACTCGTCTCGTCATCCTTTCTGTTTCAGTGAGATTGCACGACAGTATACAAGAAGAGAATTTCCATTATCTCGTCTTTGATCTGTAAGTATGAGAAAATCCCGTCGGACATAATTTAATCTTACGTACACGCACGCTCCCTCAATACAATTTGTTTTTCTGTTTTATCATCTCTCGGATCGGATCGCATATATAATAATCTCTACAATTCATCTCTCAATCCTATTATAAAAACGTTTGTGTCGGTTTTGCCGACCGATACGATCGATGAAAAGGCGCGAGATTCCGTCGAGTCATCGCGTTTCATCTCGCGAGCTCTAATTGCGTCAAGCGCCGATACCGATCTGCTGCTCCGGTCTTCGAAACGTCATCGGAGCAACGCGTCGAGAAAGTATCTAATTTAATTTCCCCGTTACGCGTGATTGTATGTACTCGTTGATTAGCCGTGCGCTACGAAGATCTTTGTCTCTTTCCCGCCACGCGTGGGACTCGCGTCGGTCTACGACACGAATTCGCTACGATCTGCCGCCGATTAATTCGCGCCGGTTACATACGAGGGATTTAATTCTCGACCGTCTCCTCGGATTTTTTGTTTTGTGACTCGATTAGCCTGTGTGTGTTTCTCGTGCTCTTTTTTCTTTCGTTCGCTCTTCGAATTGCGCGCGCAGTCCGCCTCGTAATTGGCGCAATAATTATCTTCGTCTCTTTCGATCAACGACTTTAAATTTTGTTTACACGTTCGTGACGTAAAGCAAAGATCGTTTCGAATCTCTTTTTATTATTCGGACACGGCGGCATTTTGTCGAGAACGTGTAGCGTCGCTTATGAAAAAATTCATGCTACTTTTATTTCCGGTGAGTTAAATATTCTCTCTTTCTCCTTCTCTCTGCTCTTGCGCAATATTCCTTTTACATTCGATTCCGTGCGCGCGCTCGCGAAATGGAATTGAAACGTAAAACGCTTACAGAGTCACCGGCGGAGAACTGTTTGAGGACATCGTCGCCCGGGAATTCTACAGCGAGGCCGACGCCTCGCACTGTATTCAGCAAATCCTGGAAAGCGTACACCACTGCCACCATAACGGAGTTGTGCATCGGGATCTGAAAGTACGTGGGAGAAAGAATGTGTGTGTGTGTGTGTGTACATGAATGAAATAGAAAGAAAAAGAAGGAAAAAGAGCGCTTGTCGAGCGGGAAGATGACGCCGGCGTTTGCAGAATAACCGATGTTGAAATAAAGCGATCGTGTCCTCCGTCGGTCTGTAGTTTCGTCCGCGATTCACTTCGGTCCGCGCGACGACGACGTTTCGTCTATTTTTCACAGATACGCACCAACTTGGGAAATCCACGTTTCCGCGATAATAACCGCGATAAAAGACGATTTGAAAAATCCGCGTCACAAAAACAACGCACATTTTTTAAATTGAAAATATGTACATTTGCGCGAGGAATAAACGCGATAAGTAACACGGAAGTGCGCACAATCATGTGCCAATTTGCGAATTTGCGCGAATACTGAACATTTTCTAGCGGGCAATGTTTCGGACTTTTTTCCCACACTGTGTATCGCATCTGCGAATCGAAGCTAGACGGCAGTTTTTATTCGCTCGTCTGTTCCCAATCAAATCTCTTTTGCTAAATTAGTATCATCGCATTTTCGACAAGAGAGAAGTTCGATCTCGCAACGAGATCGCGCGCGTCGAATTCGAATCGATGTCTGGGAAAAAGCTACGCGCGTTCGTTTGACAAGTGCGTCCGGTGCGACGAAAATTTTCTGTTCCAGCCGGAAAATTTACTCCTCGCGAGCAAAGCGAAAGGGGCGGCTGTGAAACTAGCTGATTTCGGCCTGGCGATCGAAGTACAGGGTGAAGCACAGGCATGGTATGGTAAGTTGGCTTTTGATTGGTTTTCTCTTCTCTCCATTTAATTAATCAAAAATCTTTTTTTATTGGCAATAATTTCGCGCGCCAGAGCGATTGCGCGTCTAAAGGACGAGCGCGGCGCGCTTTGATGTGCGCGATATTTAAACCCCACTTGGCGACACGAGGTTCTCGATCGTCTTTCATCGCGACTCGTTGAGGGATCCTCATTACGAGTGATTACGGGTTGTCGCGCGGTGAATAGTCGTGCAAATCCGTCGCTCTCGAATTGGATCGTTCGGATCCGTCAGAGAACGCGAAAAAAAAAGAAAGAAAAACATTATTTCGAAATCGGTTTCGTTTTTTGTATCCGAAAATTTCCCACGTCGTCGAGTGAAGAAAAAAACAGCGGCGCTTTTATTCGACGCGTTGTAGAAATTTTTTCGCGTCTCACAAACGACGAGTTCGTATTACTTATATTTACAACAGGGACAGTTAAACGACAAGAATATCAATCGTGTATAAACACGAACGTCGCGACGTTCAGCGATTTAAGTTGGACAGAGAAAGAGAGAGAGAGAGAGAGAGATTGACAACATTTCCTGAATATCAGCGAAAGTAATGGGATCCGCAAACTGTCGCCGGGGGTTCAAGTTGCGAACTTGATACACTCGACACTGGTAATTTACAAGCCAACCGTAGTTTTGCTACAGAGTAGTCTCGTCTCTCTCTCTCTCTCTCGGTATGTATAGTCATAACTTGCTACAATGTGTATCTTTTCTTCGTATCGCGTAACGTGTCATTTTCTTACTGCAAAGTACGGCATTTGCATAATGCAGCAATACATCAATAAGCGCAGGAAAATCGAGAGACCGTTGCGAACCTTTCGTTATCTCTACAACGACGTCTTTCTTTTCGAAGAAAAAAGGTTTTTTGCTTTAATTTCGAGATAAAAAAAATCGAGTTTTGTCATATTTTTATTCTCTTCGTGTAAACGTTCACACGTCCGAAAACTTTATCATTTAAATGGTGCGCGTTTTAGAGACACTCAGTGCGTTTCCATTTTTTAAATCGCGACCTGCTCCATCGCGTTCGTATCATTTCGAGAGCCTCTGTGAATTTTTCGTTTATTTCGCGCTCTGCCCGTTTGATTTGCATATATCTTTTTTGCATATATTTCTCTTTCTCTCTCTCTCTCTCTTTCTCTCAGACGCGGGACTCTTTCTGTGTACGACGCGTATTTGAATGCAGGTGAACTCATTGAAATAAGTGCCTGGCAGAGGCCGATTGCTCGTTTTTGGTCCCGTTTATGCAAAAGTGCGCACGCGGCGAAAGTTTTCCGATAGCGCGCGCGACCAACTTTTCCGCACTTTTTCTCCCATGCGTACGGGAGAGTTTCACAAACCAACTCCTCCCTTCCAATCGTGATTTCCGATTCTCTTTTCGTATGTGTGTGTGTGTGTGTGTGTTTCGGAGCAATCTTTTCTTTCAAAAATTTTGTTGAAAAGTCAAATATATTTTTAACCTTGTTATAAAATATTTCAAATATAAAAGAGAGACAAGATTTATAAATTTTTATTGCGTTCTCTCGCAATTCCATCCAATTGTTGCGTTTGTTGTTTTGTCTTCACTTTATCTCTCGAATTTTCGAACGAGAATCTTAAAAAAAGATTCTCGTTTAAATTAAGATCAAAGGTTTTCGTTTTTACTTTTTTTTTTAAACACACACACTTCTATTCGCGTTCTGATACGCGATTGGGTATCCCGGCAACGGGCTCGTTGGCCTCTCACTTTTATCTCGACGATCGATTTTTTGTTCTCTCTCTTTCTCTCTCTGTGCCTTTGCGCCGTAAGTAAATGTGCGTGTACCAAATCCGTCAGGAGAAAAAAATTTACGCCGAAAAAGAAATTAATATTTTTTTTTTTACGCGCAAAATTGCCTCGGTAATTAAATTTATTAAGCCGCAAGAGGGTGAAAAAAGGGTACTTTAACTCGAAACGTGCGCGTTGTATATTATTGGACAAATCAACATTTATTTCACTGTTTTTTTTTAATTATTACGTCATTTTCGTAATGCACGAAAAAAAAGGTATCGAAATATCTTTCAGTTTTTTGTTTAACGTATTCGCAAAGCGCGCCGCGACTGTGTGATTGCGCGCATAAAAGTTAAACAATTTATATTAAAATCCAAAAGCAAGAGCGCATTTTTTTCTAAAATTCCCAATATTTTTCTCTCTCTCTCTCTCTCTCTCTCTCTCTCTCTCTCTTTATGTGCGCTCGTTATCTTGCGCGCGCGTAACTATAACAAAATGATCAAAATAATATGAAAAATAGACGCGACGAACGTATGAAAATTCTGGAACACAATTCTTTATTGAATTAACAAACGTAAATATATACGCGCCGGCGTTTAGTTCTTCAAAGCGTTGTTTTTCTTGTAATTGTGATTGCTCTTATCTATAGGTTTTTATTTATGTACATTTTGTAATTTTTTTGCGCAAAACAAAGAACGAGAGAGAAAGAAACATCGGGAAATTTGCGAAAAATAAACGCTCAAGCGTTGCTTTGTACGTTCTTGTGTGTGTTTCTATAACTGCGTGTAGTTCTTTCAAGCGGTTGGTAGTTGGACCGCGCTCGTGAAAATATTTTGGCAAAGCGGATGTGTTAGTGTAAAACATATACAACTACGACGTAGCGGAGAGGGGGGAGGGAATCCAGCGTAGTCGCTCTGGCGCAATATTTCCGTGGGCAACCATAGTTGGCGTTTTAATTGCGCAGCCGTGCAGCTTCTGCTGCACCCAAGCAGGCAGCGCGTTTCGATTGCAATCGCGATTACATAACACGGTGTCTATCGATAATTAATTACACGTGTCCGATAGAGTATAAAATTGTCGGGAGAAACATTGAAAAAAAAAAAAAAATATGTATCTTGGCGCACCGGATCGCCGCGCTAATTGCGAATATTTTACGGCGTACTTCCACTTGCGTCGGCCTCGTTGCGCAATTTTTCAATTCGTCTCTCCTTTGGGAATCGTGGGATACATTTCTCGCGAATTGCAACGGTAAATATTTATCATCGGCCGCGCATCAGATGTGAACCGACCGCGTGTGAAAATTCATAATTCGTGCGCGTTGCAGATTACGTCAAATTGCAATGTCGCAAATTGCAAAACGCGGCGGAGAACAAACTTCGAACACACCTACGCGCTTATCGAATAGAAATAAACGCAATGCAGTTATTTTTGAAAATAGAACAAAAGAAATTACAATAGAAATTTCTCTTCTAAAAAAAAAAAAAAAAAACACAAATAAACAAACTGCGCGTCCGCAGTTTCTCTGTGCGCAGAGATTCGATACGACGCGTGTGTTTTTCGCGTGAAGTAATGAACTTGAGCGATCGGTAAAAAGGTTTCGCTGGAACGCCCGGCTACCTCAGTCCAGAGGTGCTGAAGAAGGAGCCGTACGGGAAACCAGTCGATATATGGGCGTGCGGTGTCATCCTGTACATCCTCCTCGTCGGCTACCCGCCGTTCTGGGACGAGGATCAGCACCGACTCTACGCGCAGATCAAGGCCGGATCGTACGACGTGCGTATTGCGACAGTTTACTGGTTTTTCACTATCTTGAAATTATTTGAAAAAGCACGCGAGAAAACATTTAGATTAAAGAGAACTTTTTTCCTTAACAAAATAGAAGAATAAACACGTGGAAGGGCAAAAAAAGATTTTGCAATTTAAATTTTATTATATCGGTTTTTTTGGTATATTCGCATTTACGAATTGTGTGACATCAATTGTGTCGCGGCCTCACGTGAAGAATTAACGTTGTTTTTTTGTGCTTTATGTTCCGCGCAGTATCCAAGTCCAGAATGGGACACCGTCACGCCGGAAGCGAAGAATCTCATCAATCAGATGCTGACGGTGAATCCGGGAAAGAGGATCACCGCCAGCGAGGCACTGAAGCATCCATGGATCTGCGTAAGTTTTTGTTGTTTTACCTGCGATATATGACGCGTTAGTTCGCGCGCGCGCGCAACTATAAAGAATCGTACAGTAGTACAGTAGTACAGTAGTACACCGCGATCGCGACGAAACTCTGATTTAATTCTCGCGTTGTAGAAAACATCGCTAATACGTACGCGTCGGGATCGTATTTCTCGTGTAATATATACAACATTATATATATATATATGTATATTTATGTAGCGCAGAGTGTTACGTAAAACACGATGACATATATTCGTAATTTGATACATTAAAATGTTATAGTTGCTAAAATCGGATAAAATGTTAAATTAAATACACACAAATGTGACTCGACTCGGAAATATATAACGCAATATAGTCACGAGCAACTCATTTTTGTTATCATTATTATTAAAAATAAAATTGAATATTTTTAAGTTTAAGTTTAATTTTCGCGATGTTTGCACAATAAACGTTGTACAAGAATAAACGCGCGCGCGCGCGCTCGTAGCTGTCAGTCCGAATAACGCAATATCTGGATTTGATTTTATCTAAAATTCTTCGAGTCTGCCCTTTCTCTCGAGCACACGCGAACCGATCGTTTCTTCGCTCGAAATAAAATTGCATTCTTGGTGCAAAGCGTGGCGCGCGCGAGACCTAATTTCAGACAATTTAATCTAATTACTTCCTTCGAGAGCAGGACGACGTCTAATGTAGGTGTTTGCTTTTTGTGTTTCAGCAACGTGAGCGTGTCGCGTCTGTGGTCCACAGACAAGAGACCGTGGATTGCTTGAAGAAATTCAACGCAAGGCGCAAATTAAAGGTAAATACATCTCTGTCTTTCTCATTTCGTCTTCTATATGTATGTATATATTTAATCCGACGCAAAATATTTGCAATCTCACGTTGCAATGTGGACCTTCAATTTCATTATCTGTCGATTATCGCGCTTCCGCGATTTTCCCATCTGCGTGGGGAGAATTCTCGCGGTTTGTTATTCGAAATATATAACTCGGTTATCCCAAACACACCGCGAAGTTGCGATAAACAAAAATATTATACATTTTGTTTTTTTGTTTTTTTTTTTTTTTTATCTCGTTTGTTGTGTGCGTGAGATTTAAACTAAAACCTCCATGTGATATTTTGTTGTTAAATTGGTTTATGCGATCGAGAGTGAAACACGTTTTTGTTTCTTGTCGAACAACACACAAAGCGAGCTTTTTGTATAATCGAGTTTCGCAAATATTATTTGCTTTAATTATCAGACCGAGAGAAAGATACAAGAGCGGCGATCGCGCAAGAATTATCTCGATTTAATTTGCGAGATCAATTCTGTAAAATTTGTGAAACGCGGAAGAGAGTTGTATTTCGCGACAGAGAGATAGAGAGCTTGCGATTGGCAAGCTTTTGTGAGGGCGTCTGTTCCGAGAGGCAGGGAGAAGGGAGGGATTACGCGAAATTTGTTTGATACGCGATTATTATCAACCGGCGCGGAATTTTAGAACCGAGCGGCGGCATGGAAATGTATGACACGCTAATCGCGCAAATTCTCATTCTAGCCGGCCGCAAAATCTCATATATTAGCCCCGGCCATTTACAGATGCAAATTCCATTATGTCCGCTTATCACGTTGCGGTCGAGATTGCGCTCGTGCGGCGCTGCCCACGTTAGTAACATCTGTAAAATTAGAACGACATGGCGCGGAGCGGTAAATTCCCCCGCTTATCGGTTCTTATGCCGTCGGACGTCAAAACGTCAGATATCCCGTCCCGCCGCAGTAAGATCAATTTTGCAAATCAGTGCACTTAATCTTCCAGAAAAAAAAAAGAAAGAAAAATATACTCGAGTTTCGAATAATCTCGATTTAAAAGCGTGGCGAAAACATTTCGAGCGTGCGGCAATTCGGACCGTATAAATTTCACTTATAGTAACGTTTTTAAGAGCGCGTTTAAGCGTTTAGGTACGAAGATTACCGAGAGATATTCCATCATTTCGAAACGGTCGTTCTTTTTACACGAGTTTTTTTTGTGTGTTTTTTAAAAGTGATAAATTATGCAAAATCTTTGTGGAAGATTTTACGGAATTTCAGCGAGTTAACAAATTATCTGCGCGAACACGTGGCACATATTAATCATCCCGAAACAAAATACATATTCTCTGTCGAAGATTTGGTCGAGAAATTTCGGGTTCATAGACGTGTTGTAATTTGCTGAGATAAGCTTTCGCGAATCACTGCTCCGGCAACACCGGGAATTCGATGAGGAATCGATGAATCGCTCGCTCGGTCGTTCTCTTTCTCCCCTACCTATCTACGAGCGTCGTTTCCTACGTTGTCGTACGGACAAGTCGCTGTCGATTAAACGATGGCACGCATCGGGGCCAGTACGATTCCACTTGTCGTCGCAACAGCGACGCACATTCCCGGTGTTGCCGAGCGGAAAGTATATCGGCTTTTTGTGCCACGTGTGTGACACGTTTCGTTTATCGTTTTCGAAATGCGCCGGAAGCTCGAGGCGCGTGCCAGGATCGCGCTTGCTTCTCTCAAAGGGTTTCGATCCGATTGACTGTAAAACCGAGAGTGCGAGATCTCGAAACATTGGACGTGTTTTTTTTTCTTTTTTTTTGTTTTTTTGAAGAACACGGAAAGCGCGAACGCTTGATTTAATTTCTCAATATTTTTCTCTTTCTCGTCGCGCGTTTTTCATGGGATTTTTTTACTCGACAAACCTGGTGCATACATATATATATACGTTTATTCCCACAGTGCGACTTATTTGTTTGTGTCGTTTGTGTAATTTTTTACAATTAGAAGTTGAAGTTTTTCTCGGGGAAAAAATTGCGCGAGTTTCAAATGCGCAGTTTTATCTTTTTTTTTTAATTTTATGAATGTTTTCACTGTCCATTTGTATTTTTTTTTCTTTAGCCGAACTCTAGGCTTGAGTGAAACTGATATGCTTCAGAAATACGCTTTAGAATCTCCTTGCAATATTGCGCAAGTTTTAATTAAACGAACGCGTAAGAGTGCTTTTTCGTATTAATGGCACTTGTCTTTATTAATTAAACAAAAACGGTTCGAGAGATTATTGCTTATATTTTTCAGTACAAACACAGTAATGTTTCACTGTGTTGTAAGACACCGTCCGTTTAAATGAATTGCTTACGTACGTGTCCTCCGCGAATAGCAGTTCCGTCCTTGTAAAGTCACCGGCGGAGAATTGAGTGTGCAATTTCGACCTATTTCATCATTCTTACGTTCTCAATTGGACGACACAATTGCGCGCGACGACGTTCGAGTAGGTTGTTCAGTGCTTCAACACAAAGCGCGAAAGAAAACATTTCATTACTCGATACCGAGCCGGCGCGTGAACAGCTATTAAAATCGTTCTCGACAATAGTTCGCGATTAAAACCATACATGGAACCTTCTCTCCTAGATTATGCGTGTAATTATATTTTTTTCCACACACACACGTGTCTGATGTAACGTTTTTTTTTTTGCGATATAAACGCGAGGTATCTGCTGCAAATAAAAAAAAAAAAAGTATAATTTCCAAAGAGAATAAAATCACATATTTTATTTAATATTTTATTTAATATTTTCTGTTATGAGGAAAACAGCGATCTGATTGTAATTAAAAGGTTAGTGCAAGCTGGTAAGAGTGTCGATGTGTGTGTGTGTGAAATATTATTTTTATTCAAATACTATTATATTTTTACTCGAACAGTCACGTTGCGATATCCCAATATTTTGGATTTTCATCGGTGAACGTAATTAAATAAATTAAAACATTAATTCAAAAAGTTTATGGCATTAAATAACGTATACAAAAACGCGGTCGATAACTAGTCAAAAAATAAACGAAATCCTCTTAGTCAAAATGAATAATCACTAGGTGGTTCTTATTTACTCTTGGTGAAAATTGTTTTCGAATTTTTATCGCGACCCAGGGGCACCTCTTTTCCTTGTCCGATCGGGTTGAAATTTTCCACGGATTATTGTTTTTACTTGGAACCGTTCTAGAGGGTGCCGCGACAAAAGTTCAAAAGTCGTAAATATATAATCACACGCTAGTGACGCTGGAAAATCAACTACACAGGATAAAATTTCAAAGTGAACTGATTGTAATTAACTTTACTCTCTCATTGTGCAATTTAAAGTAAATCATTCTCATGAAAAAAATTTAAAAAAATATTGTTCTCGTCGGTATAACCAGGAACGTGTTATCTCGCGTTTTACGAGAACAGCGTGAAGAGCTCGGCGTGATTTCTCAGTCGTGTGTAATTTCTCAAAGGACAAATTTAATTCTCAAGGTTCACTGCGGGGAAAAACGGTCTCTAAAGTGGATAATGTTCTCGCGTCGGGACAAATAATATACGGAGCGGCGGCGTATCACGCACCGAGACCTCCGCTTCTCTAACGAACCAACTTGATAGCGTTATCATAATAAGCGATTGTAGCCCCGGCTTGTGTCGAGTCGATCGCGCTCAAGGATCTCACATGTATCGGAGCGCGAACGTTAATTACAATTGGGTGTACCGAGTTAATTAATGTTTATTCGGTCGCGAGCGTGTATTCTTCCGCAAGCGAAACCGCCGCCCGCCCGCGCGAAACTCAAATATCGAAGGGAGGCGGGACGCCGGCTAATTATATAACACACGCTCACTCGATGAACGAAATAATTGAGCGACATCTTGCGGAACAACGGGCTCGTTCGAAAGTGTCTGGAATAATTCCGAAACGCGTTACGTACGTAACGTGTAACTATTTTTTAAGTTAAAAAGTTCTTTTTTTCGAGTTTGAAAAATAAATTAATGAACAATCCAAGAGAGATCTTGACAATAAAATTTATTTGTCTTTTAGCATTTGATGAAAAATCGTCTTTGTGCAATCGCGCGCGATAACAACACGCGGATAAACTCTGTCGAGAATTCAATTCCGTCAGCTGCTTTCCGAGACGAGTGACCTCGTGGCTTAACGACTTGATGAGTTTCGGGATATTTGCCGCGAGGTCTTGTTTGTTTGTTTGTTTGTTTTTTCATCTCTCGCGCGACGATCAGAATAGTAGCAGTGGGTGCGCATTAGCGACGCAGGCAACCGGCGAAGCACGTAAAAAAACGGCGACGTGACGTTGAAACAACGAACGGGTCGAATGCTGATTAAGCCGTGTGACTCATAAAAGTGCAAATGCCGAGTGAGAAAGTTTAACGACGCCATCCGCTCGCTCGTTCGCGCGAGCGCAGAAACATGAGGGCGCTGAGGAATAAATTCATGTTGTGCAGACAACAGGAGGCGACCGTGCCCGAGGTAATGAAATTTTAATCATCGTCAGATTGACGTCTAACAACGCGCGCGCGCGCGCGTTTGTTCCGCCTTGGCGTGTCAAAATGCGCCGATGGGGCGATACGTCGCGCGCGCGCGTGTGTGCGTATACGCGGAATATCGGTGATACGTAATTTTCTCCCGCTCTCTCGCGCGCGTGTGCGATAATAATAACGAAAAGCAATTTATATTATATTACACGCGCGCGAAATGAAGTGGAATTATCTAGGATCGTGAAATCTCCTCGCGCCTGATTGTTGTTGTAAGCTACAACGATTCTCACCCCGCCGTCAATTTGCCGCGTGGCCCGCTCTCAATTTGTACCGTTACGCGTTTTCCCCAAGCGCAAATACAAATTGATGCAAGTCAAACGGCGCGGATAGAGACGTGTGTTTCCGCTTTTACGAACGAAAACCTTCGTCGCACTGTGTATGTGTATGCATACAAGCGTAAACGCAGAGTTCGCATCTTCATATTGTTGTTATTGAGATGCAACTTTGTAAAAAGTATTTACGCTGTCCGTATTATTGCAGAGATGGGTGTACCGTCGTTTTGTTCACGTTGAGAGCAACGAGTTGTTTTGTCTCGCTTGATAAATCGCCGCAACAAGATGTTAATTGACCGTGTTAAAATATGTATAGCTGGCGGCACACGCTACTAATTTGGTCGGCGTCCGAGGTTACGATTAATTCGGATATTTGTTCGAATTTACGAGAGAGAGAACGACCCAGTAAAGGTCAAACGCGCGGGAACGACATGTGTTGGATGAACGTTTGTGAATTCGCAGCGTCTTTAAATAATCACGACGAGAGCGCGAAACTTTCTAATTTTTGCAACCACTTTTAACGGTAATGTGCAAAATAAAAACGGCTAGTTTTTTTGCGACATCATCGCGATTAAACTTTACGAATGACATTTAAGCGCGAATTATGTTCCGTGGACGTAAAACCCGTGCGATAATTTCGTGTAATTATAATAATTAATTAGCGCGTTCTCTCTCGTTTCCCGAAAATCGTTTGTAAAATTTGGCGAAAAATTCTCTCCGCTTCTCGGTCAAGGATTATTTTTTGAAATACATTCTCCGCGAATGTGATATACTCGCAAATTTGTATCTTTCGGTCGCGCGCGTGCATGACTTTTAAATGTCACCGTGGTCCGGAAACACAAAGCAAGTCTGTATTCTAATCGGTCGCGACTCGAAGCGTATTATCGGGTTATATCATGTTTCGCATTACAAGTGCGAAATGTTCGTTTGAAGAATTTCTCATTTGACGCGGACGACCTTATATACTCTCCGCGCAAAGTTTAGCGACACACGCACGTCGTTGTAGAGCTGTGAAATTTTGTTCCCTGTGTGCGCGCAACAATGTTCCCCAACTTGCCGCGAATGTCATCGAGCCTGATGAAAGACGAGAGTTTACGAGTAAACTTCAACTCAAAACTCTGTCCCTGTCTCTCTCTCGTTCTGTATATAATCATCCGCCCTCACTCTTAAAGGGTTAGCTGTCAGTGGGTCCTTGCTCGGGAATTATTTCCCGTAATTAAAGGCCGTCGCATCGTGTCACGGCATTTTGGACTCTCCGGCTCTCTTTGTTCGCAATCACGCGTATGCATGATTTAAGCATTTTGCTTGTCGTGGATAATCAATACACACAGCACAACGGAGTGTAATTTAAGCGGCAACATTAATCAGGTGTCAGGTTTTGATTGACTTGAAATTTGTATCGCAGCGATAAAAAAGAATCGATTGCTCTAATTGTCTTCAAATGAATAAACAAATTTTTTATATAGGATGCTGTGATGTGTAATATTTTATAAAATATTTAAGAGGATATTTTGGTCTTTTATTTTATTTTCTTTACATTTTTTATCGCTCATTCTTTAAATATTTTATTCGCATTATTCTCTTGTGTTTGTCAATTACAAGAAATTTTCGTTCGCGTCGTTGTCACGCTCTTGGCGCTTTTACGACGTACATTCCGTCTAATTTGCGTTCCAGTCGCGCGGCTGACAGTAATCGTCTTTCTTTTTCGCTCTTTGCAGGGCGCTATACTGACGACCATGTTGGCGACGCGGAACTTTTCCAGTAAGTATGATGCACAGGGTAAGTACCTCCGGCCCTCTTCAGCGCTCTACACGGACCACGACAGACAGTACTTTTATATTCCTTCCCGTTGAATTTTACATCCTTCGTGTCTCTGTCTACGAACTCGTCCCAACACCATCACCACCACCACCATCATCACCATCACCACCACCACCAAGCCTGTTTTTCCGTGCAACAGAACCCCGTTCGTTCATTCGTCTTGCACTCTCGCCATACATAGAGGATCTGTTCATCTGCCTATATATTCGCTCTTTTCGAAAGGATGCTTCGTGACGCGCTTGCGCGATGTTTTTTTCTTCATTTGCATTTCATTCGTATATTTGCTGAAAATTTATAAAAATTTAGGAAAATTTTCTTCTCGCGAAAGCGACCGCGGAGCATCCGACGGCATTTGTTGCTCGTGCACAGAAACAAATTAGAGGTCCTTTTTTGTTTTTGTTTTTTTTTTGTTTTTTTTTTGTTTTTTTTGTTTTTTTTGTTTTTTTTTACGACACTTTCTTGCCTCATGTGGTCGAAGGAGCGAGGCTGAGTCGAAAATCCAAGAGTCACGTCACATACAGCGCGTCGATGATCGATATATCCGTGTGGATTTCCCGAAAATCATCGTCGACGCGCGGCTTCGCGGTTAATTAGGCGCTTATCAGGCAAACAATCGCATTTCATCCTCGCTCGCTCGGTGCATCGGTTATCATGACACGATGTTCATCCTCCCCCGTTCTCCCTTTCCACAACTATCTCGTGTATCTCATATATAGTCGATGCGCACGGCTCGCACGTCATATCCTGCAAAGACCGTGGCACGTTACCCAGAAAACCCGGGACCTTGGCTGTTTGGCGCAAAAGCGAATTCTCGACCAGAGACAAAAGAAGAATTAAATTTTCTCTCTTTTTCTCTCTCTCTCAAAGTCTCCGAGATTCTTTCTCCAAATATTTCTCGATATCCGTAGGAGGAAGTCATCGCTTGTGTCTCTCGCGGAGACGAAGGAATTTCTGGGTAACGCGAATAGTCGTCGCAGTGGACTCAAGCAGTTTTTGTTTTTCCTCATAGAATTTTCTCATCATCCATGTCGGTGTAATCGGGCGAATCATCGAATCATGCTTCCGTTTCGTATATATTCTCCGGAATATTCTCCTTCGACATCGTCACACGTGTGTGTGTTCAATCATCATTGCAAACTAGAAAAAAAAAAAAAAAGACAAGAGAAACTTGCAACCACTCGGGGATCACTAAGAACTCAGTAAAACTAAAAAATCTCCTCACCGTTCGAAAACACACCCGATGCGCACACCCGGCTATAAATGTGTGTTGTTTGTGTCAACAGATTTTATCGTCTTCACGAGATATTTGCATTTTGTTTCGATGTATATTTTTCTCGCGCGCTCAAACGGGAAAAATAATATACACGAAAACAGAAAAATCTAGCGCTCGAGTTTGTAAACGCGTCCGCGTTTATTACAAGCGACGTGTATCAAATGTTTCAAAAGAGAATAATGTCGACATTTTTTCTTTTAAGTCGAGTTTTGTTTTACTCGTGACGATTTTGTTGCGAGAGCTTTATTGCGATATCTCGAAGTGTGCACGCGCGCGCGAAGTAATGGTCTTTGGACACTTTTTCTTTTTTTTTTTTACATCACCGTGTGTCACCGGTTATTGCTCGTGTCGTCGATAAGATTGGCAGGAAATGCAAAGTCTATACGCACATTTCACGGTGCGCACTTTATCGAGTGGACGATAATGGAGTACCGTTTCGTTCCTCTCTCTCTCTCTCTTTCTCTCTCTCTCTCTCTCTTTCTCTCTTGTTCCCTTTAATGTTTTACTGGCTTTTATCGATCCTCGAGGAAGAGTGTACGTAAGAACCTCGTTAACACGGAGCACGGGAAACGTGGGAACAACCGCATCGGCGATCGGTCGGTCGTGTGTCGTGTGGCGATGGCCAATATCCAAAAAAAAAGAAAAAAGAAAAAACTGAATTTTCACCGTTTAATCACCGTGACGTAATTAACAAGGTGGCGGGTTGTCACGGGGGCGTTTTCCCCTGTGAGAAACGCATTGTTATCGATAGCTCTCGTCGAAGTGGACACATGCGATAATATATCGATTAGGCGAAATCCGATTCGTTCGCTGAAACGAAACCTCGGCGACAACGTCAGCGCCGACTGAACTCTTTCGATTTGCCACACATCGAAATTAATCAAGGAATTGATCGGGAACAGGTAGATCACACACATTTCTCCGACGAGAATTTCATCGACAACACGCAAAAACAATTTGCGCAAATTATTCCGTCGGTAAAACGCGACGCGGCTGAAAATACGGATTTTCCCAAATTCTCGTTGCGTGATTCTGCGCTCAGGTCCGAAAAAATTGTCGAGGGATCGAAAAGGCTCAACTGTTTCGGTCCACTAGCGAGAAATTTACATCCCCCCCCTTCTCTCTCGAATGATTGTATATTTTTTTGTCGATGTTAAGCCACTCTCCTCCCTCCACTTTTCGAAGTGTGTACATACAATATACAATATTTATTATATACGTGACATGCATCTCGCTGTTGTTTACCTGGCGTAAGCACACACGAGTGTCCGCCCCGCAGTAGACGTTTGACGGATGTAACGTCGCGTTATGTACGTCATGCGCATCTACACACACACACACGCAAACAAACACACACACACACACACGCACTTATGTGATTGACTTCTAGGAGTCGACGTGTTCTTTTTTTTAGAATATGCCTCGGAAACCCTTTTGTGCATACATATATATATTTATCTTCTCCCCCAGATGTTTAGATTGACAAGTAGCTTAAGCATCTTGGCATTTGTAGATTCAACGGCACGCGTGTAACACGTACGCAGCCTGTCGGAGAAGAACGTGACCAGTTTAATTTGTAGAAAAATTTTTATTACACACGGATACGTGCACATCCATTCTCCTTTTTGATTGAAAACCAAAATGCTCTCATATTAATAATGTGTCCGGAATGTCGCGCGCCTCATTACGTGGCGCGACTCTTGCCCCCAACATTTTCAAAAATGTGCGAGAACGCTTAATTTAGAATCCGTCGAAGAAGAACGCGACTCTGATGTTCAATTTATAGAGAAATTTATTATAAATTTAAAATTTGCTATTTATATTAGAGCTAAAATGATATCATGATTTTTAAATGACTTTGAGTTAGTGGAAGGTACGCCTCGAGACATCAGTCAACGGTAAACACATTAATATAAAAATAGACTTCGAGAGAACAGAATGGATGTATTTTCAGTTTTGTATAATAAATTTTTCTATAAATTAAACCGGTCCCGTTTTCGCAGACAGCATTTTTGTACAAGACACGTGCGTTTTACCTTTTCATACAGTCGGTGTTAGACTATGTACATAGGTGTATATATACACAACACGTGTATGTCTCTTCTTATCCAAGGTTAACGCTGACACGCGCGGTGACAAGGAAACGAGTCGGATAATATCAAAACCTCTCGACAAGAAGACACATATGTACGTCGAAATAAGCGACGAGCTTTCGCAAACACGGAATTCCTGATTGCGAAATTCTCTTTTGTTACCGATGTTTCAATCGATTTGGTTATTTTCGCACGATTATTCGCGATCCGAGAATGGATTGTTGCGAAATTTCTTCCGACGGGATTGTCATCTCAGAAGATTCGAATTTCACTTTTGCCAGACTTTTCCGTTCCTCCCCGTAGTCTTACATTTCGCGTCGCGGAAAATTTCCGCTCTCAAACGACAAGATGAGACGAGATTGTTTTTATTTGCCTTTGCAAACGGCTGTTCTCTTTCGCACGCCCGTTTCTATATTCATATTCTTTTGTTTCGAGCGACTACGAAACAATTAACTCTGTCCGCGCATCTAGAGCTTTCTCTTTCCCCCACTTCTTTCTGTTCCCGCGAAAACCGTCGCCAAAGCTCGAACTTTGACTTTAATTAAATTTATTTCATCGCCCTGAGCCGACTCTCGAACTCTCTCCGAAAGCTCTTCCAACTTTTCCGCGCCTTTCTCTCTGTTTCTCGACACGCGTCTCTCTCTCTTTTTCTCTCTTCTCCTCACTTTGGGTTTTACGTTTTGCTTTTGAGGAAAAGAGCTATTATCTTCAAAGCTGGTGGCACACAATTATTATGGAAATCGGCTCTAAAAGCCTCGCGACAAACTCCAGCCGGCGATATTATTACAGATCGAGAACATCGACGACGACGACGAGTTTGTTCAATCCGCCTCGCGGATATTCGTATCGCGGTCGGACTTCCCGCGATAAAAAAAAAAAAAGCCGGTCTCGAAAGGTCGAGATTTCCTCACAGACCATTCCGGCAAAAGTGTCGATATATAATTTAACATGGAGGAATTATTAGTCACACAAAATAACGTGAACCTAACTTTCCGTTCGTCGGACAAGATCGAATGTGAAATTGAACAAATAAAGAAACAGTCACACATACACACACACACACGCATACACATACAACATTCAAAGAGCGCATATGCATATTTAAATTCCATTTATCTCACGACAGCGTCGGCCGTGATCCAAATCAAACACATGGAATTGGCACACAAACGTACCTCCAAAAACCAATCGTTATACGGATCGGTTCTACGTGATTCCCCGACTTCCGTGGTCGCGATTTTTGAAGAAGATTTTTTTCTCTCGCTCTATCTCTCTCTCTCTCTCTTTCTCTCTCTCTCTCTCTCTCTCTCTCTCTCGCTCTATCTCTCTCTCTCTCTCTTTCTCTCTCTCTCTCTCTTTCTCTCTCTCTCTCTCTCTCTCTCTTTCTTGAATATCAAAAATCTACAACGAGGCGATTCTCTCCGCTCGTTGCGACGCGGAAAATTTACACATCCAGAGACGATGTATGTTTATTTCCAAAAATAAAATAGAGCATCGACATTTCCTCGCGATACGTAACGAAGTAGATTCAATTCGACGAAGTTAATCGAGAAAATTTCCGGCGCGTCTCTATTAGTGCAATCAATATATCG